TTGTATGGACTGAGTTGTGAGTTTGTTTTGAGAAGGATTTTAAATTTCATAAGTAACCGACTATCGTAGATTAGCTGGATTACAACAGTATACACAAAACTTGTCGATTGAAGTCATTCGTCTGATAAAGTTTCACTTGATTATCTAGCTTTTTCTTGATAAAGAAAGAGCTAGTGACATGTGTCACATGTCGTGATTGGAAAGAAAAAGTAAGTAAAAATGTGCCCCTGGTGAGATTCGAACTCACGATCTCCGCATTACTCCAATACTGTTGTATAAGTACGGCGCATTAACCGGCTATGCAACAGGGGCTTATGTTTTTCGTTTCAAATATGTATACATATATTTCAAATGAGAAATACAAGTTTTACATTCTTTTCTATAAATGTGACAGTAATTGTTCAGCTGAACTATTGTCTCAGTTTCTTAACTATGTATGATCACTAATTTACCGGTAAAAGTCGCTCAGAAATCTTTGATATTACCGTAACGTTGAGCTTTTTTTTAAAATACCGTTGGTAACCGTGCGATGTTCGTAATTTTCAGGAAATATTCAAAGCAAGTCAAGGATTATACATCACGTCAAAAGACGTACGTGAGATAATACATAATCTCTGAGATTTTTAAGGAGATCTCTGAAAAATCGTCGATCGATCCATAGTTTAAATCCAATTTTTTCGATCTGATCTATAATCCATGACGTACTTTGAATATTTCCTGAAAATCACAGTTCATATGGATCAGAACGACTGAGCTGAACATTTTTTTTTTAATAATTCGATAGAAAAACGACAGAAGCCGGTCACTTCCGCCATTCGAAAGCGAAGAATTGAGGGCATCATTCGATGAAAGATGAACATAAAAGCTCCTTTTTTAAAGTAGTATTTCCAAGAGATCTTGAGAATACTAATTCATGTCTCAAAAGCCTCCAATAGAATTATGTTGATCTTTTTGTCATGGAGAGATTGCTCATAGCATCCGCTTAAAAATAAAAGTCAAGCGAGATCTTACTTTTAGTCGTTCACGCGTGTCATCGAATTTTCGAAAAGCTCCAGGAACTGTTGGAACCTCAAAGACTAATCGGGTAGAAGTATTGAGCCATGGTAAGTTGAGAAAAAAAACTGCGCTGAACATTTTAATTTTACATGGACATGGGAACAAAAGTGGATCTTTCATGGAAAGATGCCCTCAATTCTTCGCTTTCGAATGGCGGAAGCGACAGGGTCTGTCGTTTTTCTATCGAATTTATTCAACAAAATGGTGGAGAATATTTTTTTTATGCACAATAAAACTTTGACAACACGACAAACACAGCTCCGAAAACAAATGTTAAATAAACACGAACACATTAGCTGCACTGAAGGATACATGTTTGAGAAGGCTTCCAAAAATTATCAACGCACTACACCAGCCAAATACACAAGAAACATCGCAACCAATTTAACCAATATCTATGCAATACTGGAGTAGTGACTGATTGTATTTTATAAAGCGAAAACTGAGTAGGTGCGACTTAGGGGTACTTCCATTCAGGTCCGCCCACCATTACATGACATAACAGCCGCGAAACTTTCAACATTCCTTTCGTGTAGAGCATATAAAGTTACATAGAATTCCACATTTGTTCATTAAAAAAGTCATATTCTACATGCCCGTTTAGGGATGTCAAGTTTTGGCCTCTCTTATAATGAAGCAACTTTGACCTTGTTTTTCTCTATATCCATAGAGTTAACATCGACGTTTAATATACCATACAACGAAGCAGCTCGAGTAGTATAAGTACTGTTGCTCAAGACTTGTCCTAGTACTTTTACAAGGGCAGACCAGCTGTCACAAAATGGCCGAAAATGAAAAAAGGGCACTTAGTATTTCACCTCTCCTGAAGGCAAAACAAAAAGTTCTTACACTGTATATAAAAATAAAGCTAAAGAGCTGCTTAATCCAATGAAAAGAGGATAATGTCGATAACTGTCTTCATTGTTGAGTACGAAGCCCATCTTTGAAGACCCTTTTTTCAAAGTAGTCGACTTCCAGGCCTCCCGCACAAAAAGTACTCACTCGAATTTCTTTGTTTCTCTCTCATTTGTAGTACTCATCGAGCTCTACAAAATGGCATCAAAGATATTTTTGATCCGCCTCGTTTTCACCCTTTTTTCCCGATCACAAAAGTCAAAAATATCGATTACTGTTCTCATGTTTTCGCTTTGAGTTTGAGCATATCAGTACATAACCAAGGGTGTTAAAGGATGGCCAGAAGTTCTGTCTCATTCAGTATTTTCTCAATATCTCGGTCAAGGTTGATCGCCCAGTCTTAATCTATTTTTTGAGAAAAAACCTCATTCAGTTCTCTATACAAAATATATTGAACATTTCTTTACATACTATACAAATAATAAAGTATAGAGGAAATACGGGAAAGCTTCAATATCGATTACCTTCAACCGAAAAAACAGGTTTTTCAATTTCAGTCCCTTATATTTTACACCATGAAAAAAGAGAAAATGACCATTTTGTAGTTCTCGAAGTTCTATCAACTGGCTATATTTAAGACTCTTCATAGGCTCAAGCGATCGTAGGAGGATTTTTTTATTTTAGCGATTTTGCCCAGAATCATCATTTTCTAACCGCAGTTTTGAGGCACTTAGGAAACTTTGTATGGCTGCCGGGCAGGGCAACAGAAAATTCCTTGAGAGATAGATTTTTGAGATTTCCAAGCTTCTTCTTAAGTAAGATTTTGAGATTGAACAACGAAGACAACAGAGGTCGCTCAATGCTGTTTTCTTTCTTACAATGATGAGGTTCTTGAAGATAAAATCTTCTAGGTTAAGGAGAAAAACTTTGTTTTACACTGCAGGGCGTCCTGCCCAGCCAGACAGGGCAGGGCAGGGCCCAAAAAGATTTATGAGTAATTTTCTGACTGGGCAGGGCGAAAACGTTGCCCTGCGATGTTTTCTGATCCGAACAAAGAAAGTTGAATAGCCCCGTTTCGTTTCCTGTGCCAAGGAATCAAATTTTCCCTTTTTTCTTTACTTTAGTAAAATCTACGTTTGTCGTCAAAAAAGTTTGTGGCGAACTTATGATACTAGAAAAGAAGGCTGCACCAGAAAAATACATTTCGATTCCACTTTGATGCATAGCACCGTGTTCAAACTTCAAAATAAATATTTTTTGGTTGCGCTTTTGGTGATAATTGAAGCTTTCCCGTATTTCCTCTATATTTTTTTATTCTTATAGTATATAACGAAATGTTTAATATGTTTTGTGTAGAGAATTGAATGATATTTTTTTCAAAAAATAGATTGAGGCTTGGCGATCAACCTTGACAGAGAAAATACCGAAGAGACAGGACTTCTGGGTCACGCTTGATAAGAGCGAAGCAGTTCATTGAGATGTTTTAGTCTCGTGCAATTGATTCTTTCTCTACTGATCCAGTTCAATGAAATAAAAATCATATGAGATTTCTTTTGTGAAGTTCCTCCGGAGGAAGGAGTATAAGTTTTATACCTCCCAAAAAAATGTTAGGGTTTTTGGTCATTTTTTACTACCCCTGGCAATGATCGTAAACTGCCTGTGTTACCAATATTAAAGCACCTGATAATGATCTTAAAGGCTCCTGTCTAGCAAATAAACCGAGAATATTAACCAAAAATTAACAATACCAGTTCAATGTACACTGTTCAGCGGAGTAGAGACCGGCAGCGGGAACCGATCAGAGTTCGGATCCGAGTTTGAGAAATTCAACCCGTGCAGTATTCTACAGAGGAGTTCCACATTTTAGATTCAATCAAGGCTACTCTATTTTTTTCCATGTTTTCAGTCGGGACGATACGTAAAATACATAATTAGTCTACAGTTTATTCCTATCGTTTTATTTTGCATTTGTACAACATGTTAGAGATTCAGAATAGTTAAGTGATCAAAATCTACTCCTCTTCCTCGTATTTCTGCTCCACTTAACTAACTCTCAACTTTGTTTTGAGACACGTGACAAAAACCGATGATAAAACCCAAATATTTGGAATAATTTTAAAATTGAATTTATTCAGCAACGAAGAATAGGAGAAAAGGCTTTTAGAAAATATGTCCATGAAGCAAGATTTTTCGCTGTTGAAATATGCTTATTCTTCCTACTGTTTCTTTTTCACGTTGTTTACAATTTGTTTTTTTTCGTCTGTAAACATGACATTGTTTTTCAAATAGGGTTAATTATTAAAAAAACACTCACTTAAATGGAAGATGACAAAAAGTACAACGAAGAAAAGAATGTACCTCAAATTTCGGTATAAAGCGGAAAGTGTGAGACTTTATTCGAGTGCATAAGAAATACTTTTCTTTGTGAAGTAAGTATTCTTTGTAAAAATAACCGAAAACTTCATGCATACAGTATACTGTATAAATTAAAACATAACAGAGATAGAAATGATAGTGAGTATTCATATTCTTATTGTTTAACGAAAGAAATTTTATTTTAAGCAATAGCTCCTACGATGTACAAGAGAGAGTCTTTTAAAATTTCAGAATATTAAAATGGGAGACTGCTATAGTATACAAATGGTGTATCATGATTTTTCTTCGTTTTCTATGATGATTAGACGGATGTTTGAGACAAAAATTGACAACAGCGGAAAAACTGTGACTAGTTGTCTTTCAAACATTTTCTCTTCTGCTATGAAATATTCATATTATGAACGATGCAATCAATTGCAATTGGTAAGCCTAACGTTGCATTTCTAATCTTTTCTGTTGAATGTTTTTAAGTAAATTCGTTATCAATCGAAGAAAATATATTAGAATTTTTTTCTCTCTACTTCTTTCATACTATCACATGTACACATATATGATCTCTACTAAATCAATCGTCAGCATGAAAATCCAGTAAAATAAAATATTTTTCAAAAGCTTCAGCTAATTTAGTCGATTGAACTTTCTTTAAAACATTTCTTTTCGTCTCGAGATACTCAAAAATACTCGACGATATTCTATGTTTAAATGGATAATACTTACCATTGTTTTTTATCTTTTGTCTGGCATCTACCAAAACCAACTTCCTTCGTTGATTTCCAAACTAATTGTGAAAAATGTAAACTATTTTCTTGTAGGTCGCCCCCGAAATCATGATTTTTTTCTTCGCGATACCACATATCTGTCATTCGTTCACCTTTGAGTAACGGTCCAATAAAATAGGCTAAATTTTCGCCTAATACTGAACCTTGATATCGTCGCCATTGATCAGGACTATGTTTCAACTGATTCATTTTTGCTAGCTCTTTTGCCCAGTCAGTTGCTGCTTTAGATAAATATTCATTCGACGCTAATGGTGCGGCACCATGCTGAATACGATATTGATTATGTGACATAAGAGCTTCAATGGAAAATTTAACATCATCATATTCCATATCCGTATCAATTGTACTAACGTCTGTTTTATTCGCTTGAATTGGT